CTCCTATGAATCCACGCTGGCACCTGGCGACCGAATGCTTGGGCTGGGCGTGGACGGGGACGGCAAGGGCGGAAGCGCTTAGCTGATTGTCGGTGCTGGAGGAGAGTGAGGGTCCTGGTATGGCTGGGCTCGGGGATAGTCCTGGGGCCAGACTCGGACACTTCGACTTGGGCGGGCACGCAAGAAGACCGCGGTTAAACCCAGGGGGCGGGGGGGGGGGGGGGGGCGACCAGAAAATAATGCAGCACGTGTTGCAAACAATACATGGCAAACGCTGGGCACCCATTTGTGTCCACCCGCTGCGTGGAATCCCGTCTGGCCTAGGGTTCGAGTCCTTGCGCGACATGACCATGTCTCTGAACTCGTGCTCTAGGAGGCCCCGCTGGATGCCCTCTGGAATCTTCTGGAATTCCTGTCGGAGCTCATCAAGCACCCGGGGTTCAGGGGGAGGCGAAACATCGGGACAACGATGAGCTTCACTCCAATCCGACCAGACCTCTGGGCGTAGGTGGTCTAGGGAGGCTCCTCTTCAAACCCTCTTCTTCCACTTCGGGGAGGGGTTCATCACTGTTCCTTGTTCATATGCACCCCCTCCCCCAGGCGACCGGGGGCCAACCAAACACCATGCCGACACTATGCCCACCCGCCCATCACCATCCGTGTCGAAAAACAATACAAACCGAACTCTGCCTCCACATTTGGAGCATGCGCGGCCAACCCGATGCGGCCCCCCCACCATCCCTGTCAAACATACATGAAACGTACACTTTGGAGCAAGGTCTCGAGTCATGTTCGGGGGGCCCGCGAGCACTTCGTATTGCTTTTGGCAAGGACGGCGGGGGTGTCAGCATATTCCCTGCTGTGCGCATGGCTACCATCCCTGACAAACAAAATACAACATGCACCTCAGGGCTAAGTCTGGATCATGCGCGGCCATCCCGTGATCACTGCCAAGTGGCTTTTGACAAGGACGGCGGGGGTGGTGGCGCGTGGCCTGCCGTGCGCAGGCTCAGCAGGCACAATGACGGGCATCGGTTTTCGACAAGGATAGCGGGGGCCGACATGTTTCCCGATGTGTGCTGTCACGTGCGCAGGCGCACCTGGCGGACTCTGCACGTGCCCCGAACGCGGCGCACCTGGTGCGGCTGGAGTGTGCTGCACACCTGGCGCACTCGGAGCACGTGGCGCATCTGGCGCAGCAGGCGTGCCTCGCACGCTCGGGCCCCAGGGGGGCCTGGCGCGCGTGGCGCCCCTGGCACGCGTGGCGCACCTCGCCCAAACGTCGCGTACCTAGCTGTCCATCTAATGACGACCGCTGAACATGCTCAGGCTCCGATGTTACTTCTGTGTAGGGAGGGCGGGTGGGAGTGAGCTAGACGGCTTGCGGGCGGGTGGGTGTCTTGACCCCTCCCCCTACCCCCTCCGCTGGACCTGGACGGGGGGGCGGCGAGGGGTTGGAGCGTCCAAGATGGCCCAAGACGGCTCCGAAAAGGCCCTCGAGTCCAAGATGAGCTCCAAGACGGCTCAAGATAGCGCACGATGCCTCACGATGGCCCCCAAGATGCCCCAAGAACGTTCCAGGACGGCTCCAAGAGGCGCCCGAGACTTCCAAGGAGCCCCCCAAGAAGCCCAAATCCTTTAAGCACCTAAGGGCAATTCATGAGTTTTGCCTTCTCGCCTTTTCGCTTCCGATGGCCATCCGAGGCCTCAAGATGGCTCCAGAATGACCCAAGAGAGCCCCAGGATAGGCTCAAGAGAGCCCCAAAAGACGGCCCCCAGAGCGCCCAAGAGCGCTCCAATAGGTGTCCAGGAGGCGATGTTCGGTGCTCCCGAGGGGGGGGGGGCTGACTGGAGCTCCACTCTGGTTTGGTCGATGTCCTCCTAGATAGCCCCACGAGCGCACCTAAAGCTCCCAAGCGCGGCCCAGAGGAGCCCCGAGAGGCGCCCAAACAGCCCCAAGAGGCGCCCACTCAGGAGGCCCCAAAGAGGCCTCAAGAAGATCTCCGAGCACCCAAGACGCTCCAAGAAGCCCATGGGCCCGCCAAAAGGCCCCCTCGACTTCCCAAGATGCTCCCGATGGCCATCCGAGGCCTCAGGCAGCCGCAAGATGGCCCCAAGATGGCCCAACACGGCTTCTGGGGCGCAAGGGAACCGCAAAACGGCATCAAAAGCGCCCAAGAGCGCCCGAAGAGCGTTCCGAGAGGGGTACAGGAAAAGACGTTTGAGGCTCCCGAGAAGGGAGACTAATTGGAGTGTCCCTCTTTTTTGATCGATATCCTCCACGATAGCCCCAAGAGCGCCCCAACAGGGCCCCAAGGGGCGCCCAGATAGCCCCAAGAGGCGCCCAAGAGGCCTCCTAAGCTCCCCCGAGGCGCTCTGTTCGTCCTCCCCTCATCCTTGTCCGCCTCCCCCTCCCCCTCCCCCTCCTCCTCCTCCTCCTCCTCCTCCTCCTCCTCCTCCTCCTCCATGCCTTCTCCTCATACATAACGTCTCCCTATCGCACCCCGGTGCCAGTTTTTAGGGCGGGCAGGGCGTTTCGCCTGAGACACCCTCACCATTTATGACACTGACGCTTAAAACATGTCAACAATTTCTCAGATGGAAGGCGGGTCGTTTTCAAAATGTAGCACTCGCCTTGGCGCCACGCACAGTCGTTTTGAAAAACTGCAAGAATCTCATGGATTGAGGGCAGGTGGTTTTCAACATGTGGCTCTCGCCTTAGCGCCGCGCACATGTGTTTTCGAAATTTGCAATAATTTCGCTGATTGAGTGCGAGTGGTGTTCAAAATGCGGCTCTCGCCCTGGCGCCGCGCACATTTTTTTGAACATGTGCAAGCGCTTCACGGATGAAAACGGTTCCTTTTTCAAACTGCGGTTCTCACCTTAGCGCCGCGCGCATTCTTATTAAACAGTTGCAAGCGTTCCACGGATTCCCATGATCGGCCTACCAAAAACTTCGCTTTGGAAGGATTCGCAATTTTGAGGGCGCAACAGTTACGAGGACTCGCGGAGTTGAGGTCCCAGAAATGGCGTTCTGGCACGATTCAAGATCGTCAAGACGCACAAATCAGGTTCATCCGTGGCGTTGGAATACCGCGAATCATGTTTTGGCATGCTTCAGGGTCTTCAAACGGTTGTCTTTCAACGAGGCAAGTCCCTCTGTGGAAATGAATCGTTGTAGGGGCCTATAAAGAGGGAGCTTGGGGGAGGATTTATTCCAACATCGTTGGTGACTTTTGGGTTTACACTGGTCATACTCCTCCTCCTCCTCCTCCTCCTCCTCCTCCTCCTCCTCCTCCTCCTCCCCCTCCCTCTTTCCCCTCTCCCCCAACACCTCCTCATCCTCCTCCTCCTCCATCTTCGCCCTCTGGGGTATGACGACATCCACCGTCATGTTTTTCCCTGTGCTCCCATACCCCCCATGATCAAAGCAATTCCTCTGGACATCGTTGCTGGAAAGATGACCGACAAACCCCGATAGTCGGTGCTCTTCGCTAGAGTGGCTGTCTTAGGATGGGCTGGTGGGGATTCGCGAAACGTCAACCCTTTCTGGCTAGATTGGCAGCGCTGGACCCATTGGGGGGGGATTCGGATCCTACGGGTCAGCCACCACAGGGCAGGCAATCTTCCGTCTCTTGACGGACCCGCCGAGCTGTATCCATCCTTCCCGAGGGAGCCTCGCATTCGCTTGCAATCATATCATGTTTCATGTCGGCGTTTAGCCTACGTGTGGTCTCATGGAAACCATCATGGCTGATGAACGCCATATCTTCAAAACTGTAGTAGATGCTGAAATTAGGCAAGGCCTCAAAACAAGTGACAACAAGACGCTGACGACCAAAGTTGCGAGCAAGCTGCAAGCGAAGACAGACAGCGCTTTCTCGCACTCAGTACTCGGACCGTGCCGAAACATCATTTTCGCAAGATGCTCCTTGTCTTCAAACGTAGCTGCTATGAACGTGATGAGGTGGTCCCAGGTGTCGGGGTTCGGGGCTGGGCCCCTCAAAAACAATTCAACAATATCGCCGAACTCGGGATGATTTATGACCCGTCTCGGCAGCTCCGACCTGTCATGAGCGCAGCCAACGATAAAGGATCGCGCGCTCCAATCTAAAATCTCCGACGTGGGGGCAGACCAATCAAATTTGCCAACAAGGGCGACGCCGAGCACAACGTCCGCGGCGACAACGCGATACACGGCGTCGGCCTGCGGGATCTCGCAATAACTGCCGAAGAGAGAATCAACATTGCCTCGAACAAACATCAGCGTCTGGGGGGGGCAAGGATCGAACCGCCCACCATCTGTCGCACTCCGCTGGACTCGAATAATCCCAATCACCAGCAGTGCACGAGAGGCCCCTGTCAGGCTTGGGTCGGGACCCCGAGTGACGCACTGGTATTCCACGCGCAGCACGATTGCTCTGACCAGGATCCAGGCGCACGCTTGCCGAGACCAGTGGCTTATTCCCCCCGCAGAGCTTAAAGACCAAGATGCACCCAGGAGCAACTTCCGAGACCCAGGCCGCACGGAACTGTCCCAAGAGGGCCTTGGGCACAGATGTGATCACACCACTTGCACTACGAGAACTACAAAAAGAATCGAACAGCTCGTGATAGGGGGAATCACGTCTAAGTGACCGTAAGTCAGCTAGCGTACCATGTGTCTCCTGACACTGATGTGTGACGCTGGTGATTAGCGCGCACACTACCTCGCAAGGCTTGTGAGTTCCACGGTGCTACTACCAGGGATATATTCGGCAAAAAGAAACACTTCCATGAATTCTTACTTGGTGTCTGGAACATTGGCAAGCTGGCCTCCAGCCCATCGCCGCAAGAGGAGGAGGAAGCGAGGAAGGGAAGGGGGGGGAGCACGACGACAGGCAACGGCGAGCCTTCGCAGGGCGTGCCCGCGCAGCAGCGCCAGCCGCTGTACGCCCTGTGGTAGCTGAGCACCCTGCCTCGGCCTCACCTGATGCAACCGCATCCTGCAAGACAAGCTCCTAGCGCCTCTTGGCGACGAGCGCCATCTCTCTCTCAACCACGGAGTCCACGAGGACCCGGCCTAGGCCCACGGTGAGCAAGTCTGGCTGGGGCACTAGATGAAAAGGTGGCAGCCTCGCTTTCTCGACAATCTCCCCCAAGTCCCAAACCTCCTCGCGCGTCGAATCCGTGAGGTGTAGAAAGCCAGTGCACGGGTGGGGGCCTAAGCGCATGGAGGCCCTCGAGAGCTCCTCGGCCTTCAACTCCTCCAGCACCAGCTGCCAGCGCTGCCCGAGCGCGAAGGAGCGAAGACGGACAGGCAACAGATGATCCCATCCAGCTCGCAGATTGACCACTTCACCTGAACGAGGGTCGGTCCACGTCAGCAGGATCGGGTCGGACCTGGCCCCGCGTGGAAACGTAGCGCGTGATCCTCGTCCACGAACTGGATGTTGTAGCACTGATCACAACTCCGAGCCTGCACCTTGCATCGGCTCGAGTACTCACTTGTCATGTTCGTCTTGATGATGCTGACATGCCACTTGAAGGATTCCTGCGCCATCTGCCGTGGGAAGCCACGAATCCAGATCTTCGCCCTATTGCGAGGCTCCTCAGACACCACACTGCCAGCCCGCGTAGATCCTCCAGATCGCGAGGCTAAGAACTGCGCACGCGGATCTGGCACAGGCGGGAGAGGGGCACGTACAGGTAGCGCGGCAAGTGCCGTCTCAATCTTGGTCATCATGGCGTCCATGTCAGCCGCTAACGTCGCAGTCGCAGAAGGGGCAGGAGCAACCGCAGGTCGATCTGCCCCAGATGCCTCCATGTCGTCGTCCCTGTCGATCTCGGCGATGGTCTTCAACTTCAGAGGTAAGACTCGAGTGCCTTGAGCTTCCAAAGCCTCCTTCATGTCGTTCACCTGCCTCTGCAAGGTGCCCATCGTTTCCGTGAATCTGGCACCGGTGGCTCGAATCAGCGTCATGTTATTGGTCATAATGGTGCCGAGCTGCTCGATGCGATGCTGAGCAGGAGCAGTGGCCTTCCTTATCAGATCTCGCATCTGTTCCAGAGTCACTCCTGACATGGCTGAAACAGGAGACGTGGACAGGATCATCGCAAGCAAGATGCTGCGCCGAGACAGAACCTGCTGCCGCACGAAGGCTGGCAGCAAGGAGCGTGTAGTAGAAAGACTGTCGGCCACGGGCCTTAAGCCAGACCTCACGGCTGCGTCAGAGCTCTAGCCGCCGAGGTCCCGCAGCTAGAACTTGAGCCAAAATGGCTACGGAGGAGGAGGAGGAGGTGAAGGCAAGGAGGAGAAGGCGGAGGCGGAGGAGGAGAAGGAGGAGGAGGAGGAGGAGGGGGAGGAGGGGGAGGAGGAGGAGGAGGAGGAGGAGGAGGAGGAGGAGGAGGAGGAGGAGGAGGTGAAGGCAAGGATAATGAGCAGCAACAGGATCGGCGAATCGAAGGTGGTGTGGGGGTGGGGGGGCGGGGAGGAGGCCGCAGGGGAAACTGCTCAGTGGTTCCAGCATCTCCATACTGAAGGGTTCGACCTCCTTTGTGGAGGCTGTTGTTCCTTCGATCTGGTTGCTTCCCAACCATCCCTCTGGTCGTGTCCTCGTCTCGAATAAAGCACAATGGTCTCGACTCCGTCCTCTGCTCCCCCTCCTCCTCCCCCCCCCTCCTCCTCCTCCTCCTCCTCCTCCTCCTCCTCCTCCTCCTCCTCCTCCTCCTCCGCCTTCTCCTCCTCATATTCCTCCTTGCAACCTTCCTCCAACCCTCCTGCGTGGGGCTTTCGTTTTGAATAGAGCACCGCTGGCGCGTCTCCTCCCGCCTTCTCTCTCCGCCTGCCCCCTCCCCCTCCTCCTCCTCCTCCTCCTCCTCCTCCTCCTCCTCCTCCTCCTCCTCCTTCTCTTCCTCCTCCTCATCTTCCTCCTCTTCCGCCTTGCCTCCCTCCTCCTAGCTCCTACAGCCTACCCTGCCTATCGGGGGGCTGCCATCTGCGGAAATGTAAACAAAGGCTTTCACGGGCTCCTGGGAGGTCCAGCGGAGTGGCGTCTGACGCACACCCAGACTAGACCTCGCGGCTTTCTGGGTGTGCTGCCACCCGCGCAACCTTCGCCGCTTTCTTGGGCTCCTGGGAGGTTCCGCGGAGTGGTGTCTTACGATGTCTTACGCGCATCTAGATCAGACATCGCGGCCCCATTGGAGGCTGCCGCCTGCGCATTTGTCGCCCTTTTTGTGGGCTCCTGGGAGGTTCAGCGGGGTCGTGTCATACGCACATCCAGACTAGACCTCGCGGCTCTCTGAGGGGAGGTGTACGCGGATCCAAACGAATCCTCGCGGCTCCCTCGGAGGCGCTCATCGTTGTCATCCCTTTGGGTCTGAGCTGCGAGAGTGCGTCATTGAGTGGGGGCGTTGAATCTGGTCAGACATTGTTTGGCAAATCGTTCATGAGTGCTGCTGCAGATGTTTTAATGTGTTGCGCTCCTATTGATAGCTGCCTCGCGTTTAGAAAGGGTTCTGTGCGTCTCGGGAAATGTCCCAGTTGCTTTCATTTGGGTGTTTGGGGAAAAGTCTCCCCAAACCTCCAACATGGATGGGACCCTCCTCTATAGCAAAAGAGCAGAAACCAAGCAGAAACCACCAATATAATTAGGTGTCGAACCTCTGCTTCGACAGTACAGTTCCTCCCGCCCTCGGTTTTTCGTCCCAGATTGTTTTCTGACGGCACTGACGCCGAAAACGATGCAAAACTGCCGTCCTGACTTGAAGGTGGCTGGGAGGTTTGAACTGGTTGGGACACCAGACATTCGATCAGGAGGGGGGATGAAGCCAAATCCCATCAGAATTGGTTCTCGGACCCCTCCTGGGGGCCATCTGATGCAGTTTTTCACCCCGGATTTGTTCTTGACAATCCTAGGGCCCGAAAACTGGCCCTGGAGACCGAAAAACGTTAAAATACCTTCTCGAACCCAGCAGCTCGAACTTCGCCCCCACTTCCTGCTCGCTGGTGCCAATGCTGGGCCCCCTCAGGCCTCCAGCCAGCTCCAAGTCCTGACTTTTTCAACGCGTTGGAGGACTGGGCACCCGAATCGGCTACACGCAAGAGTGACCCTGGGCAAGGGTGACCTTCGGTGCGGGGGCCGCCGGGGGCGCTGAATCCAAGCACGCAGGCCGAAGCTGGGGGGACCCCAGTGGACTCGCACCAAAGGTGACTCCAGCGAAAGGCCACTCCTACGCGCAGCCGACCGACCGCCTCGAACCTCGAGCTCCTCGAACGCCGAACGGCGGGCGGGGCCCGCCTTGCCGTCGCCGCCGCTGGCCCTGCCGGCACCGGCGGGCGCCCTGCTCTCGCCGCCGCCGGGCGGCGGGGGCGGCGGGGGCGAGGGGGGGACCCTGGGGATGCTGGCCGACCTCTTGTTACGTGTTCGACCATGGCGTCCCCGTTGCCACCGGGTCCTGGGCCGTCTTCGGCGGTCTTCGGACGGTCTTCGGACGGTCTTCGGCGCTCCTCTGAGGGTCTTCGGCGGCTTCCGGCGGCCTTTGTGGTTTCCAGCGGTCTTCGGCTCGAGGGCTGCGTTCAACAAAAGGTCCATGATCGAACACCTAACTCTCGGGAGTCAAGATCCGAGCCGGAGGCAAGACGTTAACGTGTCTACCACCTTCGCCTCCACCTCTCCTCTCCTCCCTCCTCCTCCTCCTCCTCCTCCTCCTCCTCCTCCTCAGCAGCCATTTGGGCTCACGCCAGCTACCTCACGCCATTGCTTGGGGGCGGCTGCCGAGAGAAGGTTTTGTGTGGCCAAATGGGTGTTTCTCTGCGGCGCGGTGGGTTTTGGTATGGTCATGGGTGCTTCAGAGCATATGCACCCGCGGGTACAAGGCAGAGACCCAGACCCCAACAAACCACAACCGAAAAGGCGCCTCTCATGAGCCTCTTAGGACCTCTGGCAAGACTCTTGAGGCCTCTTATGAGCCCCTTGGGCATCTGACCAGCACCTTGGGGCCTCTCGAGAGCCTCCTGGGAAGTCTTATGAACCTCTTGGGGCCTCTTACGATCCTCTTGAGGCCATGCGATCCCAGTACCAGCCTGCTACCGTTAGTAAATAATGGTATGCTTCTCCTCCGACTACCACTACGGTGAGTGCGATCTTAGTTGTACTTCTTCTGCGATTACGACTACGATGGCAACTGATAGTAGTTCTACGATTCTTACAAACACACACACAAAAACACAACACACACACACAAACAACAACAGCAGCAACAGCAACAGCAACAGCAACAACAACAACAGCAGGAGCAACAGCAACAACAACACAATACCACCACCACCAACGACAACACTACCACCAACAACAACACCAGCAGTAACAACAACAGCAACCACAACACCGACAACACCAACCACATGACCATCACCATTTCCACCACCAGCAACAGCAGCAACAACAACAACTACTACTGCTGCTACTGCTACTACTACTACTACTACTACTACTACTACTACTACTACAGCAACTACTACGACCACTACTACCAGTACGACAGCACCAGCAACAGCAACACAATCAACCACAACTACGACAACAACCACAATTACAACCACAACCACAGCCACAACCGCAACCACAACAACAACCCTTACAACACTGACAACAACAACAACAACGACACAACGCAGCAACAACAACAAACAGTTTAAGACTGTTCGCTCTTACCTGTTTGCGTGCCACGCAACAAGTATATCCCAAACCCATGATACCCACCCTCTTCGTATTCGATCGTACCCCCCAGGGGGTATATCTTCTTTACCTGCCGCGTGTAATTGGTGCAGCACCTGAAACAAGGGAAGGGAAAAAGGATGGAACACGGGATTTGCAGGAGGGGGGCTAGGAGCAGAAAACACGTGGCAAAACCAGACGGGCCCATCGGGCCGGTAGACCGTAACGGGCGGGTCGGGAAGGCGGGCCCAAGCGGCCAGGTCGAGAAGGCGTGTTGCTGAAGCGTGAGTGCTGCATGAATCGCGGGGAGAACTCGAGCGACAGCGCGATTCCCAAGTAAATGGTGGGAGAGGCCAGAGCGAGAGTGTGATTCCTGAATGTCGAGGGCGCGGCATCTGAATCCATTGCGAGAAAGTCCCACGCGAGAGCGCGATACCTGCATACATTGTGAGGGCATCCCGCGCGAGAGCGCGATTTTGGAATAAGTTGTGAGGAAGTACCAGGCGGGAACCGTTGTTGTTGTTGTAACTCGGGGGGCAAAGGCCCAGATTGGTGACCCCTCACTTTCCCTTGTAAAAAAAAAAATGGGCCGTGCATCAGGCCCGCCCATTTCAATTGGAAAAGACCCGAGGTGCCCTGGATGGGGGGATCAACAATTATCATCCTCCAGGAGTGAACATTCAACAGCAGCAGCAGCAGCAACACACAACAACAACAACAACACCACCAACAACAACAACAACAACACCAACAACAATAACAATCATTTTACCCGAACGCTCAGTGTTCTCCCCAGTGCCAGGGTTTTCTTGCGACACCAGCCAATACCCCCACTTCGTGGGGGGGCCGTTCAAGCTCTACCAAATATCCAAACGACTCTTCGAGACCACCCACACCCAGCTTCCCGCCCTATGACGTTGGGACACTTCACTTCGTGGCGTGCGGACGACCCTGGCTACTACACTGGCGTGGGGTACACACCCACAGAGGTTGATCACATCTGTTACATATGATGTGGTACACGGTACACGTGAGATGGTACGCAGTGCCAAGATAGTTGGTCACATTTTTGTGCGTTTTCATATGTTTTCTGAACATCGCATCTTGAAATTATTGAAAACCCATTGTGTTTGGCAGGATTTCGACATGCGCGCGCGGCGGCCGCGCGCATGTGCACTTCGTCTCATTTTTTGCAAGGGATGGTGGCCCTCGCAGGCGCGCAACCGTTGTTGGAGAAGTTCAAAGCACCTGAAGAAGTAGCACGCAAAGACCCTTTTGACAGAAATGTTTAAAAAGTGGTGTGTTTCCTATGAATCCGCAAGAGCGCGCGGAAGGACATTTTGACAATTTTTTCTTAAAAAACCATTGGGTTTTTGATGTTTTTATGTTAAAATCGTTACGAAACCTAAGGTTTTGGAAGGATTTCGTCTTGCGAGCGCGAATGTCCACTTTACCTTATTTTTTGCAAGGGATTCTTGAAATTTGATCAACTAAGAACAAGAATTTTCATTTTCTATTGTTTTTTGCAAGGGAAAACGAGCGTCAACAAAAAACCGGATCCGGGGGTAATCCACTTTTCTGAAGCTTTCGCAGAAAAATGATGAAAATGTAGCTGCGGCCTAGGTTTTGGGCGGGGGGCGTGCACCAGGGGGTCCAACAATAATAATTCTTTAGAAGTAATAGTGTTCAACAGCATCAGCATCAGCATCAACAACTTCAACAACTTCAACAACTTCAACAACAACAACCACAACCACAACCACAACCACAACAATCACAACCACAACCACAACCACAACAACCAACAACCAACAACCAACAACCACAACAACAACTGCAGCAGCAGCAACAACAACAACACCAACACCAGCAACACCACCACCAACAACAACATCACCAACAACAACGACGACGACGACGGCAAAAACAACAGCAGCATCAGCAACAAACAACAACAACACCAGCAACATCAGCAACAACAACACCACCAACAACAGCAGCAGCAACAACAATAACAACGATCGGCTTACGACAGTGCGTTTCTATCTGCTCGCGTTCCACTCACGTATATCCCAAATCCTCAATTCCCGCCCTCTTCGCCTTCGACAGTACCCCCTTGGGGGCATATCTTCCTTGCATGCCACGCGCACTCAGCGCAGCATCTAGAACAGGAAAAGAGAGGACGGATGGAAGGGGGAGGGAGAAAGAGGGAAAACGGAGAAATTAGCATTAGGGGGGCTAGGAGCCGAAAACACGTGGCAGAACCAGACGGGCATATCGGGCGGGTCGACCCGAACGGGCAGGTAGGGAAGGCGGGCCCAAGCGGCCAGGTCGAGCAGGCGGGTTGCTGAAGCGTGCGTCCTGCAAGGATCGCGAGGAAGTCTCGAGCGATAGCGCGAATCGTGAGAAAGGCCGCAGCGAGAGAGTGATTCCTGAATGTCAAGGGCGCGGCGTCTGAATAAATTACGAGGACGTCCCGCGCGAGAGCACGATCCCTGCATACACTGTGAGGAGATCCCGCGCGAGAGCTCGATTGTGGAATAAATTGTAAGGGTGTATCAGGCGGGAGCCATTGTTGTTGTTGTTGTTGTAGTAAGCTGGGGGCCTGGGGCACAGTTCGGTGACACCAAGCGTTGCCTTGTAAAAGCAGGTGCGACCCCCGGGGAGAACACTTTAATTGTAACATCAGATGGTTTCCGGAGGGGGGGGGACCGATCGGACCAGCACGAATTAGAAATGAAAAGTCAATAACCACAGCAACAGCAGCGACAACAACAACAACAACAACAACAACAACAACAACAACAACAACAAAAACAACAGCAACAACAACAACAACAACAACAACAACAACAACAACAACAACAACAACAACAACAACAACACCAACAACACCAACAACAACACACATTTTAAGACTGTTCGTTCTTAGCTGCCCGCGTGCCATTCAACACGTACTTCCTAAGCTCTCGATGCCCATCCTCTTCGTCTTCGATCGTACCCCCTTCGGGGTATATCTCTTTCTTACCTGCAGCGTGCATTTCGTGCAGCCCCTGAGGCAGGGGAAGGGAGGACGGATGGAAGGAAGGGACAGGGGGAGGAGGAGGGCGGAGCACGAGAGAGAGTAGAATGAGGGGGGCTAAGATCAGAAAACATGTGGCAGAACCAGACGGGCATATCGGGCGGGTCGACCCGAACGGGCGGGTAGGGAAGGCGGGCCCAGGCGGCCAGGTCGAGCAGGCGGGTTGCTGAAACGTGCGTCCTGCATGAATCGCGGGGGGAGCTCGACCGATAGCGCGATTCCCAAGTAAATCGTGGGAGAGGCCAGAACGAGAGTGTGATTCCTGAGTGTCGAGAGCGCGGCATCTGAATCCATTGCGAGAAAGTCCCACGCGAGAGCGTGATACCTGCATACATTGTGAAGACATCCCGCGCGAGAGCGCGCTTTGGGAATCCGACCAGCCCTTTGGGCCACAGATGGTTTAAGGAGGGTCTTTTTCCTCTTCCACAACACCTCTTCTCTTCGGGGAGGGGAACCCTCCCCTTCCCCTCCCTGAGGTTTTTCCCAACCAACCTTTTGTTGTTGGGCCCTTAGGTTTGAAG